CTGACAAGTGGCTTGTGGTATTCTGTGACGAGATCAACCTACCAGTCCCCGATGCCTACGGGACACAGAGAGTCATCATGTTTATAAGGCAAATAATCGAGAGCGGAGGCTTCTACCGACCAAGTGATAGGTCTTGGGTCGAGGTAGAACGTATCCTCTTTGTTGGTGCATGTAACCCTTCTACTGATGCTGGACGTCATGCTATGAGTGATAGATTCCTCCGTCATGTGCCTGTCCTATTCATGGACTATCCATCAAGTGACTCTTTGGTACAGATCTACGGCACCTTTACTAGAGCTATGCTTAGGCTCCAACCACAGCTAGAAGAATATGCTGACATGCTTACTAAGGCAATGGTATCTGTATACACAAGTATAGGACAGACATTCACGGTGGCAGGCTGTGGGCAGCCTCATTACTTCTACTCACCACGAGAGCTCACTAGATGGAAGATTGCCTTGTATGAGGCTATGATGGAATATGACTGTATGACCCGTATGGACCTTATTAGACTCTTCATTCATGAGGCTATGAGGGTATTCCGTGATCGGTTAACGACAATTGAGGAGCGTACAAGGGCCGATAGTATCATCGATGATACAGCTAAAGAGTACTTCGGAGCCACCGAGAAGGAACTAAGAAGACCTCTCATGTTCTCCCATTATGGCAGTAAATACTATACTGAGGTAAGTGTGTAATAGCCATTCTCACACAAGGCCAAGCGCATCGCTCAACAGTCCATACTTCTTTCTTCTTGTGGTCGTCAGATTAGCATAGAACGTATGAGGGTATTTGTGGGAGCTAAGCTGGAGGAATTCTACGAGGAGGCTTTGTCTGTTAAGCTCTCGTTGTTCGATACTATGCTGGATCACATGACCAGAATCGACCGGGTCCTCAGACAACCTCTGGGTAAGGACATGCTATAGTGGCTGATTCATAGACTCTTCTGGCCCTTCAAGGTCATATGCTCCTTGTCGGTGCTAGTGGGGTTGGTAAAACTGTCCTATCAAAGTTCGTCAGCTGGATGAACGGCCTCTCTGTCTATCAGCTCAAGGTAGGAGTACTTCACTCTGTATTCAACGAAAGGTGTTGCTCTATCATCAGACCGGTAAGTCATATGATATCCACTCTTTCGAGGCTGACCTTCGGCATGTTATGAAGCGTGCTGGGGTGAAAGGAGAGAGAATATGCTTCATCTTCGATGAGTCTAACGTCCTCGGCCCAGCTTTCCTCGAGAGGATGAATGCTTTACTTGCTGGTGGAGAGGTGATTGCAATCTTGCCACCGACCCATAGCCCTGTTGGTACCTTGCCTAGGTCCCTGGTCTATTCGAAGGCGACGAGTATAACAACTTGATCCAGGAGTGCCGTACCAGTAACGAGACCGCCACTACAGCGGACGCCAACGAGCTATTCTCTGACTTTACGAAAGACGTCTGGACGATGCTAATGATGCTCAGCGAGCTGTTGTCAGCATGCGGTCCCATTTGAGTGCGAGTACCGTAGTAGCTATGTCATCTAGGTACAGAAGAATCTGCACATAGTGTTCACA